TGAGATATTTTTGCGTAAATGTATCCAACCCACGGAGATCTACAGCTGCGCCTCAGTACCACAGAAAATCCATACAATGAAAATTGCACTTTAAATCTCAAGGATCCTGAGAGGCTGAGATAAAGTGCAACACTTACCTTCCCAGCTTGGATGTTTGTTTTTTTTCTTTCAAAATGCATCTATTCTTAAGGTCTTGTGTACCTCCCTGCAGATCTCTGCAAGGATGCTCACTAAGCCTAAGCCTGGGATGGCCTTACAATGCAACTGAATTCTGAGATGGAAGCATGACAATTTCTTGATTCCATTTCAACATCAATTGAGACTTCAGCACATTAAGTCGAGGAGGAGGAGGTGCATTTTCTGATGAGCTTTGGGCCCAATATATGTTTTGTAAAAATGGTAGGACTGTGGCAGAAAACACATGAAAACCTTTAAAGGGATTAAACATTTCCCTGTAGTGCTCAAAACCCAAACAGAAAAGCATTTTATCAGCGTGGTTAAAAGTCACACTAACGAAAACCCCAGACCAAACAAAATCAAAACAAAACCACCTGAAAAGCACAACGAAAGGAGACTAAAAGCAAGAGTGAAACTTGCCAGGCTGTTCTCAGTAACCAACTTCAATCAAACAATAAATTAATGCAGAGCCTAAAATTATAAAGAATCAGAATTATAAAGAATTCAGAGCTGTCTTTTTTATCTCAATACTGACACTTCAGGAAACAAGAAAATCCTATAGAGGAGCTCACTGTAGAGATGCAGGGGCAGAGTAACACGGGAGATCCCCACACTTCTAAGCAGCTGCATCACTAACTGTTAGCACATAGCAAAATCAGGAATAGAAAAGTGGAGCAATGAAGATACAGCAGGCAAGTTCGGGAAACCATACAGCTTTTAGAAAGATTGGCTACTGGTAACACATTGATGCTTTCAAAAAAAAGCCTGGTATGTGTGGAATTCTCTGGGATGCCAGGGTGCAAAAAGGATCTCATTAGCTAGGGTTTTCAAAATCTGCTGCCTGGTTGTTGCCTATTATTCAGAAAGCAAGATGGCTTACATCATCAGTTTCTGTAAAGTACAATATTCCACTTAAACTGCCAGATCTCTAGTCCCCTAGACTGAGAAATCATCTTTCCAAATATATACGGAGGCACTGAGTCCCAAGTCTACACACTAGTCCAGCACTTCTATGTTTCTGCATTACCGAGATAATCAAGCATCTAATAATAAAACTGGGCAGTACCACACTGCTCAGTTCTCTTGCTGGCAACAAGAAAACTCTAAGCAACATCGAGACTGACAACAATCATCTTATTCCCACATGGTTCTGCTTTAGAAGCAGACCCTGGAGCTGCTCATGATGAAAAGCAGTGGAGTGGCAGAAGGGCAAAGTAGTTAGTTCAGGAGCTGAGCAAGAAAACATTTCTTACCCTCGTTTCTCTTACATTCAGAGAATGGGAAAGGATTCATATTTGCAAGATGCTGGCTGGCCAGAGGCTTAAAAGAAAGATGAAAGGACAAGGAGCTTCTGGGGAAGCAGAGGCGAGGGACCTTGAGTTTTTGAAGATGACCTGCTTGTAACTGCCCAGAATCTGTCCTTTATTGTGCCTAACAAAGCTTTTCAATCACACTGAACAGTGACAAAAACAAAGGGCATCGCATAAGTAAATACCTTTACCAGTAGCTTAGTAGAGGACTTTTAAGTACTTTTCTTAAAGCAAAGTATACACATACTTGCATGTTCACCATTGCAACAGCAACAGAGCTGAGAATGTTAAGGCCTTGTGAAAATTACAGGAGTAGTGATAAGCATTACTGGGAAAATGCCAGTTTTAATTAATTTTAATTCTTGGTTAATAGTCTCTGAATCCAACATAGATGTTTTAATATAATGACACATAATTTTCAGTATAATATACAACATTATTATGCAAAACTGTATTATATGCTATTTTCAAGTGAACTCCTTTCCTGCTCCCCTTCCCCTTGGTACCATCTCTGCAATTGCCAAGGAATGGCATTCTGGCCAAGGATTGCCCCTCTAACCGCTGGCTCCAATAGCTCTTGAGATGGCATTAGCCCATCATTTACTTTTCCTATCACAGCCTGACTGTTCACAGGGGAATCTCAGATCCAGCTGGCTTACGAGGCACGAAAAAAACGGCCTTCCAGTGTCACAGCTCAGTATCTAGGGCACGTCCAGTAGCATCATTCTCAAATCACTATGCTGAACTTGAAGCTGGAATATGAAGAATGTCTCACTGTGCTAAGATAGGCTAGTAGTTTTAAACTGAATACTTGAAAAACTTGTGGTTGGGCTGCACTGTACTGATGTTAACATCCCAGTACATGGTGTCTTGGTCAATGTACCAATAAGCCCAGCCCCTCCAGACTCATAACATGCAATAAATTCTATGTAGCCATTACAGTCATGCCATGGGTGGAGTGGCTGCATGCCTGTCACCAACTTGTTCCTTGTGGTTGTGAGTCCGAACCTCCAGCCACTTTGAATTATTCTTGGATGCGTCATTTGGGCTGGACAGCCAAAAGACAGCCCTGAGGCCATCCCATCATTTCCATGCTTGCCACAGGAGATAGAAGTGAGTATGCCTTAATGTGATGCTGATTTGGTCCTGGGCAGATCTGTGACCACCTCCGATTGCTCTCTTGGTTTCAAAAAAACAACTGGGTGTAGTGACTTGAGTGTAATACTTTGAGGAATGAATTATGTAGGCACTTCATGCATAAAACAAACATTAGCATAGTCTTGCTGAAAGTAATAATGAAGGAGGAGGCGTCAGCCCAGAGAGTTAAAGCACACTATCATTATACACTACAGGGAAGATGGGCAGCTTCCTGCCAGGCAGTTTTATCTGTCCCTTGGGAACAGTGAGCGGGTCTGGAGGCCAAAGGGAGGTATTGCTCTGGGTGTGTATGGATTTTGAGGCAATGTGAGGAGATAATGTGTAGAGTGGTGCTGTTCAGATCTGGGTTTCAGATGAGATGGTCAAATGCAGCACTGTGTAAATGCAGCTCTGCTGATCCAACACTGGACAGGGAATATAAGCAGCCAAAGGAGGCAAAGAAGTTCGTGTACATTGGATTGTATCACGACTTTCACCTTTAGGGAAGATGTGGTACAGCACTGCATGGAGAGAAGTGATGAGGACAGGGAGGTGTGCTTTGAGCAGCTGTAGAGCTGCAGGCAAGCCCAGCCTTGTGGAGGATCCCTGGGCTGACCAGACCCAGGGACATCTGCAGATCTATCAGTGGCACTGTGCTGTATACAAGAGGAAGAAAGAACAGCTGGCAAACACACGGAAGATCATGACCAAAATTTTCTCCCCTCTTAAAGAGAGAAGGATTTAAAAGAAAACCAAACACTAAAAAAAATGGATCTGCATTTATCATCACAGGGATAATGCCAGACTCTCTAATTAAGCAGATGACATAACTGTGCTGTAATATCAAGATTTTGCTCTGTGATTTGCAAACAAGCTGCACTTGCACAACCCAGAAAGAAAAAAGCCATACAGATTAGAACAGCTAAGCTCTGCTCTCACTTACATTAGTATATACCCACACTTACTCAGCTCAAAAGACCTACAGATGAGAATGTGATATGAGGAGTTTCATTTCCTCAGACAGTTCCCTCACTAGCCCAGCCAAGCCTCCTTCTCATTGCAGTTTCCAATCACAGACAAGCACTCTGCTCTGATTACACACTCATCCTGAAACCTCAAAAAATCTCCCTCAGTCTCATCTATGGTTGGTGTACATTAATACATCACCAGCAAAGTCACTGTACATCTGCTGAGTATGTAGCTTAAATACCATTGAATACTTAAGGTTTAATTCTGTTAATCAGGACAGCTTCATTGATCCTAGAAGAGTTATGTATATTCCACAATGCTCCAAAGGGGAGGAAATCCAAAGCACAATTTTTAAAAGGCATATTCACGAAAAACACCGAGAAGAGGGCATGGTCTTATTTACCCTGGTGTAAACTCACTTTGCTGTACTTAGTGGAGGTACTCAGGATTTAGAGGGGTACAGTAGAAGGCAAAAACTAAGCCAAATTCTCAAGACATTGCTTTTCCTAAAACAGATACTGAGAGGTCAGAACCAACACCAATCTCTGCTACTCCAGACTTCCAATCGACAGCCCTATCTATAAAAGAGAACACATATCCACAAGTGCTTGGGAAGCGTATGCACTAGCGAGAGTACAAAATCATTACACTGCTGTGAACACGAGCCATATTCAGCAGAATTCAGCAGCTGTTAGAACTACAGAGCTTTTCAATGCTTTTATAGTTTGGGTGGAGAAGAAACAGGATTCAAGCGCTGCTCATAACGCAAGTTCTATATTGCCTTGATCTTTATCCTCCCCCTCCTCCACCCTCCCTCTTCGCTCTTCAGGGCTACTCTTTAAACAGAAAGAAGTCATTAGCCAAACTTCCTTATTTTATGGCCCCGACGGTTAGGTAACGACGAAGCAGTTTTATTATTTCTGCTTAAGAGCATTTGATCGGGAATTCAGAGACACTTCTAAGGGGGAGATATCTGTCGGGGAAAAGGGATAGGGCGGCAAAGGGACAAAACACAAATATGCCCGAGTGCGGCGGATCACCTCCATCAGCCCCGGCGCCCAGCTCATAGACCTCGTCCCCCTCCCTGGCCAAACCCTTGGCTGCAGAAGATGCGTCCCGAGAGCCTCGCCAGCCAGCTCCTTACGTAAGGCACAAACCACTGACATCATCCCTCCCGCCGGCATCGCCGCGGCGCCCAGCGGCGCCCACAGACCCGACCCGACCCGCGCCCGCCCGCTCCCTTCCCACTCTGCTGCCCCGCCAGAGCGCCTTTCCCACCGACTCTGGCCCCAAACTTTGCACGGCAGGTTGCCACGGGATGGCTTTCCCCGCCGGGCGCCCCGTGCTGCGGTGCGCTCCATCCATCCTGCGGTGCGCCCCATCCATCCCGCATTCCGTGGTACTTACGCACTGCCTCCTGCTTGGGGTCGAGGCCGCGCACGGCTCCCTGGAGGCCGGCGATGCGGCCGTGCAGCGCCCGTACACGGCGGTGGGTGCCCTGGATGTCAGCCTCGACCTCCTGGAAAAGGGTGCAGGCGTGTCGGGCCACGTCGGAGAGCTGTCGGAGGATCCGCGACAGGGCTACGTTGCTGACCGAGCAGAGGTCCAGCACCATCAGCACCGCCGCCGCCTCCCTCTCCCCGCCGCCGGCCGCCTCGGCGCCCTCGCTCGCCGTGCCCGGCTCCTCCGGCGGCGGGTCCCGCGGCGGCGGTGGCGGCTCTGCGCCCCAGCTCTCCTCCAGCACGGAGGCGGCGGGCTGCCGCCGGCACAGCCGCTGCGGCTCCACGATCCGCTTGGCGAAGGGCATGGCCGAGCCCTCGGCCGGAGCTCCCCCGGGGTCCTGCGGGCACTGGCGGAGATCGCTGCCCTCCTCCTCCTCCTCCTCGTCCTTTTCCTCCTGGCCGCCGCCGCCGCTCCTCGCCCGCCGCCGTCACTCGCGGGCGGCCGCCGGCGGGCGGCTCATCGCCTCGCTGCCTCCCTGCGCGGGGCTCCTGGGCTGCGGGGCGGCCGCCGCGCCGCCGAGCATCCGCCGCCGCTGCCGCTGCCGCCGCGGGGAGCCGGGGCGCATCCGCGCCGCCTCGCTCGCTCGCTCGCTCGCTCTCACGCCGTCCCGCTCCGGCGGCGGGTGTGAAGGGGCGGCCCGAAAACCCGGAGAGAGGAATCCCGCGGCCGCGAGGAGGAGCGAGCCGCCGAGCCTCCCGCCCGGGAGAGCGGCGGGGCGGGGGCGGGCGGGGGGAGCGGGGCGGTGCCGGCTCCCGCCGCCGCCGCGGGGAGGCGCTGCGGGGCGGGCCCGGGGCGCGGGCGGCGGGGGCACCGGCGGCCCCTGTCGGGCGGGGAGCGGCGCTCCGCTCCGGGCAGGCTCTGCCGCCTCGCCCCCGGCCCTGCCCGCCTCCTCTCCGGCGGGAGCGCTGCTCAGGTGTGCAAAGAAGAAGGAGAAGCTGTCTCGAGGGGCAGGAGGGGACCAAACTCAGCACCAACTCGCCTCCCGGGGCACCGCGGAGGTTGGTGCACTCCCTGGAGTCAGGTGCACGCACTTGGCCATCGGCTTCTTAGGAGGTGTCGGAGGAAGCTGGGTTCCCGTCACACAAGGAGCGCTGCTTCTGACGCAACACAGTTCAGCTGGCGTACGTACACTTCTGAAAGGTGAACGTGCCTAACAAGCAGGCATGAAATCTGAACACAAACTCGGAATTATTGGTGGTAAATACCACTGAAAGAGGTACCGTAAAAGGAGATCCAGTCAGATGCAAATACAGGCATTCCACAGTTTGGAAACAGTGGCTTGTTTGCCCGCTTGACCTTAGCTTGTCATCCTTGCACTTGAGTGTTGTGGTACAGCCCGTCATTACATGACCACATAGAGGCAGTTTTTAATTACCTCTGGTCAAATAGCCTGAGCTGCAGAGAGCATCACTGCCAGCCTGGTGATACACATATCCCACGTTCTGCAGATGCTACAGCTCACTCTTGGGACAAGCTTAGGTCCAGAGGGAGATTAGAGCTGCTTTCACAGAGATCAGAGTCTGAGCTGATGAGCTTTCTGGCCCTGCTGCTGGCTTTTAGCATGGACCACTCATGTGCCTTCACGCTTTACCTTTGGAAAGAGGAACACACCATGACACAAAGTCAGTTCAGGTCTTTAGCTCAGGTTTCTCACTTGGCTTGAAATTGCTCCCAGCCCTATGCTTGGGCAGGGAGGAAGGGACAGAGCCTGTCCCAATCTCAACACCACTTCCCGACACTTCCTGGGGGGCTTGAAGTTCAGGTGTGGCCCAGTGGGAGCAAGCAGGGATGTGGGAATAAGCAGGGGCAGTGCTCAAACAGTACTAAACCTATTTCTTGGACCCAAGATGAGCCACTGCTAAAATCACTGGGGTATTTGTATCCCACATTTCTGAGTTTGCTCTGCAGCCGAGAGGCTTTTAGCTCTTGTAATGGAGCATGGACTGTACTACTCTTCCTATCTGGGGGAGTTGTGATGTGTTATTTATAAGCCACTGAAAGGTATTTTAATATTTCACTTGAGATTCATAAAGCAGGGGGAACTGTTAAGTTGTAATGCTTCAGAAGGAGCAGCAGCCACCCAAACTGATGTGCGATCACAAGAAAAGGACCAGGAAACAGCAGTATAGCATTCACCAGTCAGGGGCAGGAGATACCTCCGAGGAAATAATCTCAGGCACTTATTTGGCCTACCGGGAACATGATAAGCCAGTGAATTGAGCCATAGGTAACAGGTAAAAGCTGCAAGGGGTAGGATTTTAGATTGCACCTTACCACAGCTACCCCATTGCACCTACTCTCTGATCAGCTCAGACAGGACAAGAGCTGTGCAGCTCTCTTCCTTCCCTTGAAAACAGCACCTTGGTTCTGGCAGTATATTCCTATTCAACCTCAGCAAAGCTACCAGAAGCCAGAGCTTCCTCTTCATATACTTTTCTCAGTCTGTTATTACTACTCCACTTTTACATAGACTCCATGGTCTCTCTTTTTATCCCATGCTTGGAAAGAGGTACAGCTTACCCTAAGGACCCTACTAGTCCCATGACAATTGTGTGACTTGAGTACAGGACACACAGCACCAAATCACACAGGAATGAACTTGTTTAAAGGAAGAACCTTCTGCCAAGTCCGTGCATCTCCACCATGCGAGCATATTTTCATTTTGAAGGTTTGAAACATTACTGTCCTTCCCTCCACAAGTCTAGATGTTGCGTTTTTCTTAGTTTTTCCTTGCAAGCAAAACATACTCCATATGCAGCTTGGGTGAGAGGCACTGGCACTTTCTACCAGGCAGGTGGAGATACTGTGTCACTTGCCTCTGGTCAGAATACAGCTCTTATCTTTGCAGGTGCTGGGGAGTCAAATTGCCCCAGTCATACACTTGCTATGTGGTTTTTTTATCAGTAATATCGTCTGGTGCAAATCCAAATTGAGTTGCTTCTCAGCTGCCCCTGGGATTGCTCTTGGTATGTCTGTTCAGTAGCAGATGTAGTAAGAGGGGAGCAGTCCCAAAGGTTACCCTCAATCTCACCCAATGGATCTTTGGAGTCTCTTATAGCAAAAGGAGAGGGAAAAAGTCTTCCATGGCAGATTTTGAATGTTGTCTCAGTTCTGAAGTATGCCTCAGAGGTGCCAATCCCTCTGTGCTGACTGGAGGCTTCTCTTGGTTGGAGTTAAACCTCAAGACCCAGAGTACTTAATTTGTGAAGACATCAGCCTGGACCAACCAGCTGCATTGTTAAATTTCAAGAAGCACTTGCTGACCTCAGAGATTGAGACATGCCAGAAAGAATATGAGTCATGAACAGAGATAAATAGGTGAAACGATTCCTTGTGTATTTATTTATGGCAGGAAATATGTCATGTTGCACTGTACTGCTTTCTTGCATGTGGTTTGGCTGTATTCACTATGCTAGTACATTTAGGTTGGGATACTGCTGTGGGTGGCATTGGCTTTCACCCATGTCAGTGAAAGGCAGTGGTTTGCTTTGAAGACCCATACAATGTGGGAGTGGAAGAGTGGGCTAACACTAAAAGAAAGGTCCTGCTTGATCTCTCACTAGTGCTGCTGGTGGTAGCAGGCACCTGGTCATAGCCCACAGTGATTGTTGTGCATCATCCCACCCCCTTCCCACTGCTGTGCTCATTCCCTGGCTCACTTTGGCTGCTGGTAGCCCTGCTGAGCTGTGACTTTACAGCAACACCAGCCAGGGAATATTCCTGCCTTTGGAGACAGAGGGCAGAGCCATTGGCAGATAAGAAGAGATCTGGTTTCCTGCTGCAGTGAGGTACAGGAAGCAGGGAGGTAGGATTAGGCAATCTCACCCCGTTTGGCAGGGCTGCTCTGGCCTGTTGCAGTGTCTTGTTCTGCACTGCCAGAGAGGGAGGAGAGGCTGATGAGTGCTGTAGGCTATTGTCATTTCCTCCTCTTTCCACAGCTGTCAGGAAGGTGCCTTTAGGCATTATATTAATGAAGATGTGGCCTTTTGGCCATAATGTGGAATCTGTCATCGCTGATTCTAGCCCACCCTAAATATATCACTTATTTATTCTTAGCAAAAATGTCACAGACAAAGCATTCCCAAACTTGTACCCACTCAGGCTAGCAAAATTATCCTTTTTTGGAAAGTCCCTTCAATATTCAGCTGCCATTCTGCTCTTAGACTCGACAGCAACATTCCTTGATCACAGTAAGGCCACATTAAAAGTCCATAAGGCAGGAAAGTAGCAGTCAGTAGTTCCCTGTGAGCTTGGACCTGTTCATTTAGGACTCTCAGTCCTGCCAGTTTGTTTCAGCAGGTTAAAGTTAAAATCATTTCCAGAACGTGGGACATTAAGATTTTACTGGGAGATACCTTTTCTGAAGAGGATCCCTAATTTTGAGTGACTTAGTGAGGGAAAAGGCTGGTAATTCATATTTTGATTTGACATGTCCAGGACACAGAAATAACTTTCTTCTTCAGTGAAGGCCATACTGCTGATGTACTGAGGCACACGCCTTCTTACCTTTGGTTCCTGTTTCCCTAAAACTTTAGTGGCACAAACAGCTATACAAATGTATGCAGCATGCAAGAGACCATAAATCTCTTCTAGGAGTTGCTATATGAATATGACTAGATATTGGTGTTTTATAGGTAGGAGTATTCCCTGTTCATCCTTGTTTCTCTCACAATACTCACAAAATCATTGTTGCTGCCAGTTTGCCATCACTACTAAAGCTGTGCAGTATGAATTTTCTCTTGTTCTCTGGGCCAGGGCACCCTTTTTCCTAATTTTTTCCTTCTTCTTTGAGAAGAAGAATTTTACTGTCCTCAGTAAAGCTGTTTCCTAATCTTTCTCACACCTGCAGCTGAGGACGCACACAGGCGTTAGAATGGTGAGTGTTTCTCTGCGTTAATCTCTCTCCCGTCCAACTGCATTTCCCCAGACACTCGTGTGCTGTCACCAGCTTACACTGATCCAGCCCACTACTGCTCTTTCTGCTAGTTGTTAATATTTGTATTGCCATAAACCTTTTCACCCTTGAACTGTGAGCCCACTGATTTAGTCATTGGTTTAAATAGGGAAAATACAGGGCCTGCAGCAGTCCTTGAGCATGTAGCAAAAGGAATT